GCGATCAAGTGAAATGGGCTCCGTGCGCCAACAAAAGAGGGCGCGTTTATACCATTTTTGAGAGCCCCTTGGACGCAACACCGCATGTGCGTACTGTTCTGGTTTGCACGAGAAGTACCCCCGACTATATCCTGAATGTGCACAAAGCTAAGCCATAGTGTCTTCGCTCGTGAGCGTCATGCATCCTCGGCGTGCGAATACCTTTGAATTTAACTTACGATGGTCTCCCAGACTAATCCCCGCCTCCAATAACTTCGGATGATCTTTTGAAGTATGCAGTGGATGGACGGGGAACCAGTCTAGGCCACCTCCAACTCTCCTTTTCTGGCTGTTGAAGGGGTACTTGTGCACGGAGCCATAGCCTATGCCACAGTCATGTTTCTATTTCACTGCTTTTAGTACTTTAATAGGTAGGCCCTACCGGTATGTGTTCATTAATTTGGGTCAAAAGGCATGCAGTGTGCAGAGACCTTTGAATGTCGCTAGTGAGCATGATTGTTCGGATATCTTACCTGTTAAAGGTAATATACACTGTACAACATTTGCAAACATAAAAAAACCGGAAAACTACCAAATTATTGTTAAATACCTTGCTTGACTAGAGTGAATGATTGTCTCAATCATGCTGTGAAATCATGGCACCTGGGGTGCTGTCATTTTCAGGAAAAGTGGAATTTTGTATCAACTTCCAACGATGATCGGCCGCCCATCAGTGTAAAAACAAACTGACTGTGGTTTTTCTCAAATATATGTTTGCAATCAGTTAAACATCCATGAACGGGTGCGAGCAAGCTAGTCTGGTTCCGGGACCTGACAATTCCCTGACGTTTATAAATTGCTCCGTTTCTTCTGAAGTAGGGTCAGGCATAGAGCAAGGAACCAAACTACAAAAACATCATTTTTTTTCTTGGTTTTTCCAGCATCCATAAGCACACAACTTTAAAGAGGTCAGTGTAACACTACATGTTGTATTTGCTATTAAGCACTAAACCCCAAATCCATCCATTTCTGAAGATTACAGCAAAAGCAAAAGTTGCATATTGACCTTTAATTTGAAAAGTAATAGCCAATTGAATAACTCATAATTGCATAAGAGGAGGTACTTTCCCGGGAACCCATTTTAACGTTACACTTCTTTGAACTGTTACGAAAGACCACATCATCAAATAAACATGCTCTGGGGCTGTGCCAAAGAAGGGAGTGACAATCATGACCTAAATATACTGCACGCACTGGAAAATAGGGGACTTTTTGTGGAGTCATCCCGTCCTTATTTCTTTTTTAGTATAGATAATTTTTTTTTCTGTTCTTTTTTTTTTAAATCTCATCTCGTAAAATGTAACAGGCTTTGCAATCTTGCTGACACTTCTTAATAGGGTTGCATCATATAATGCATCACCCCAGGCCGCCAGGCTTAGGAAAGACCCAATCTGTCTCATTCGTTGTTGTTTTTTTCCAGGAAATTTTGCCACCAAAACAAAAAATGAATCAGCGATGGCTGGCTGTTTGATTGTACATGTATGTATGTGACTGAACGTAGCAAATTTGAACCCTGGACAGGCTACAAATTGGCTGCGTGTCAGCTTTATATCCGGGTATGATTCAGTGGCTGATTTCTCTGAATTTGTGTTTCCTTTTCTCTCTCTCTTTGCTCTTGTAAAGAAGTTTTTTGTAGGGGGGGGGTGTTTAGTCTACCTGGATGTTAGCAGATACTAACGTCTGATTGAATAAAGCTCAATTTTGGGTCCATCCGTCCCATGTGTACATAGAATGAGGCATTTTTCCACTCCATTAGACAATATCCCAAGTTATGCTAGTATTGTTTTTTAATTTTTTTTTGTGGTGTTTTTGATTTCACGCTGTGGCAGATTGCTCAAATCTCAGGCAACCCACTGGGAAAAGAAGAATTTCCCAGAACTGAGCCTCGATCAGCCAATTCAGGATTTTTGTGCATTATTGGAAAACCCTGTTAATCTTTGTAGCAACCTATCGGTATCTTTGGTCTGGCTTGCATATTTCCACACAAATAAGAAACTTTGCAAATAAAAGTGGGTGACGGCAACACTACAGGGGCTGTTTATAGGCCTATCAAAAGTTTGACCCCGAAATTCGTTCTCGCAAGAATAACACGAAAACGGACAATTTTTAAAGTATGATTGCGTGGACGTTCATCTTCTACTTTTAAATGCTTCTTCCAACTAATATCATTTTGTTTGAAATGCATTTCGTATCCCAATTGGGCGCATGCCAGGATTCGGTGCTCCCTTTAATTCTGAAAATTGCAGCAAAAGCAAATGTTGTGTATTCCCTTTTACATGTGACATTTTCACTGTTTTCAAAAAATGTTACATATCCACTGACCTTAATTGGAAGATACAACATTTGCGAACATCTCAAAACGAAACGATCAAATTATCACGAAATACCTTACTGGTTTGTTTGGGAATGACAGTCTAAAGCATCCTGCAAAATCGTGGCTCCTGGCGTGCTGTCATTTTCAAGAAAAATGGCACTTCGGCCGACCAGCGTTGGAGAAAACTGGCTTTTTTCAAAAACTGCTCCTATTTTTTCATAATTAGTTACTCTGCATTTTCTTTGCAATTGATTACACACCTGTGAAGGGGTACAAGCCTGCTAGACTGATTCTCTGACCTTACAATTCCCCAAAGTCTATAAATTGCTCCGTTTCATCTTAATTAAGTGGGGTCAGGGAACCAGACTACAAGAACATGATTGGTTTTCTTGGTTTTTCCAGCATCTACAAGCCCAAAACGTGAAACAATTAGTCATTTTAACAATATCTGCTATAACATACTAATCCTCCAAATCCATTTATTTCAGACAATTGCAGCAAAAGCAAATGTTGTACATTCCCTTTAAGGACACTGTTGATGTATGTACGAGTAAGCAGGAGGTCATGGGTTCGAGTCCCACCCGCGTTAGCTTGTAAAGTTTTCCTTATAAACTACGCTGAAATGTATTTGAAATCTTTTTGAACCCTCTTTAGTTTGATTGAAAGAAGAGGCATGACAATTGTACTTTAAAAGGATCGGTTTCTTATTTCTGAAAAAAAAAATTAATTAAGAAAAACAAAAGGGGAAAACCTTGCACATGTGAACTTGAATTTTGTCTTGATGTTGTTTGTTTCAAAAGCAGATAAAGTTTATTTGTTCTGTTGGTGCTCAAAATGACGCATCACATTAAAACCCCATGCACGTGTCTTTAAGGAAAAAGCACTTCAAAATTTACGGGGGAAACTTTTTTCCAGTTAACTCAGCTTGTTTTTCAACAAAAGTGTAAAGGCCTAGGAATTTTCATAGAAATCTTATGAAAAAAAGTGGGTAAGTGTACGTCAACATTTTCGCCGGGTATGGCGCGGGGGATTCACTGTTCTTAACTTTCTTTTGACAACCAGGTATCTACTGGAAGCTTATCATTGATGTATTTGATGATGTTAGGATTTCCTGTTTTTCACCAGGTGAAGTTACACCGAGCCCTGTGCATGTTTATCCAGAAAAAGATTGACGAGTTTCGATTGCCAAATCTAAACTTTCAACAAACAACACTGCATTCTAACTGTGGCAGCTTCTTGCATAATTTATTTAGTTATTTAATTTTTTTTGGGGGGGGGGGGGAAAGGGGCAGTGCACTTTTGTTTCAGTCACTTTTTTTTATTGAGGTAAAAGGTTTATTGAGCTTCGTATATCTTGGAGTGTTAGGCTAGGGTGGATTCTGTCAAGAATTGTGGAAATTTTGAAGGAGACTTAAAAAAAGGCTGGACAATTTTCAAGGGACTAAACCAGGATGCATCAAAATCCCTGAGAGATTTTTATGCCACGTTGTCTGCATTTACATGTACATTAATCATTTCATGCTCAATTTGGCACAGTTGGTTCTCTCAGCAAGCATTTGTAAGCTGGTCCTTGATGCATGCATTTTTTTCCCTCCTATATATTTTGGGCATTACGCAAGGAACATGTTTTTGTTCGACGTTAATGTTGCAGACTCACTAAATCATTTTTGTATGGTTCTTTGCATTTTGTGTGTAGGAATTCTATGAACCCAAAACTTTAAACAGGTCAGTGTAACAATATTTGCTATAAAATGCTAACCCCTAAAATCCATCCATTTCTGAAAATTACAGGACAGCAAAATTACCTTGAAGTTCACTTGATCAGAATGATTGTATGACTGTAATAATATATAGGCTATATAAAGTGTTTTCTAAAAATACATTGGCGAAGGGCCAAACCCAATATCAAAATGTTTACATCTCCCTGATGCAAATTCCCATCTATTGTCCTCCCTGTTTAATAGACTTTGATGCTTAAAGGGAATATACATACTTATGTACATCATTTGCTTTTGCTGTAATTTCAGAAATGGATGGAATTTGGGGGGTTGGAAATATATAGCAAATATAGTTACACTGACTTTTTTGAGGTTTTGGGTTCGAAAATGCTATAAAAACCAAGAAAAACAATCGTTTTCCTGTAGTCTGGTTCCCTGACTCCATATAAGAAGAAACAGAGCAGTTTACATACATTGGGGAATTGTAAGGTCAGGGAACCAGTTTAGCTGGCTTGTACCTGTTCATAGGTGTGTAATCGATTGCAAACAAGTGCGATGGTCAATTTTGGGCCAGTATTTGAAAAAAAGCCAGTTTTTTTCCAACGCTGGTCGGCCGACCAGCGTTTGAAATTGATACAAAAATACCACTTTTCTTGAAAATGACAGTATACCGTACCAGGTGCCATGATTTTACAGGATGCTTTACACTGTCATTCACTAACAGTCCAGCAAGGTATTTCAAAATGATTTGGTAGTTTTTTTTTTTGATGTTTGCAAATGTTGTATTTTCCCTTTAAGTAGGAATCCATTTACCCTTACCCTAAAAATGTACACTGCCAAACCTGATATTTCTGTCCTGTTTGCAACAAATCATGTCATGCTACTCCTATCCTATAATATGTGTACCTTTTCCTGCTGAACTTCTATAGGAGACAATCCACACCAGCTGAATCGGCCAACGTCCGCCTACGTTCACAGAGAACCACCCGGTGGCGAAATAGGTACATGTGTGGAAAACTAACACGTTCAACCCTGTTTACTGTACAGTGTGAAATCACTAATTACTAACCTCATACATATATAATGGGGGGAGGGGGAGGGGTAAAGGGGGGGGGTTTACATGTCTTTTTGATATCTTGGAACTATTTTGAAGGAATGCATATCTGATCATCCAGTGTGGAACTAATTTACAATAATACATTTTTTGTAATTATTTGAATGCTTTACACTTCATGCAAAACAACCCACGGTACCTACCGGTACAGTGTTGCACAATTTTTCCAGCAACTAAACCACATTACAAAGTTTTTTATGGCTTTTGACTTCTGGAGCCAAATGAGCAAAGACATGGAAAAATGGGGAGACTGCCGACATAGGGCTGAATACCTCAGTTGGTAGAATACAGGTATACCTGTTAAATGTTTGGGGGTCTCAGGATTCAGGGGTTCTCTAGATGTCCAGCTCCATTCAAATCTTTTCCCATGCAACTAAATATTGATGGAGTTTTTTTAGTGAGTGGATGTTTCTGTGGGATCTCCCCTACCCGTGTCGAAATCAATACTGGTCCACCGTAAGTGGAGCCAGGTCCCATCGATACACAAGGCTCACCATTCACACTTACACTGGCATGGGCGTCATTCGGTGGGGAATGGGTGGTGGGGGGGGGGGGACAAGTGGGCGATATCATATCATTTGTCCCCCCCCCCACTTTTTTCGCCCCCCTCCAAAAAAATGTAGCCCACATATTATTCTATAGCTCAGAATAGCTGATTCAATTACTCCCAACTTAAAAATGATGTTTAAATTGTGATCTTTTGCTAAAAAAAATGCGTTAAAGTGGTCAGAAATTGCCTCAGATCGCAACACAGAGTGTCTAGAATCCAGGTTTGGAGGTTTTTTTCTCGAGTAATCCACATCTCACTGACAATAACCATCTTAATTGAGAATTTGATGTGAACATTTGTGCTGACAACATTGTCATACTAACTTCTCTCCATCGAGTGATTGTTTTTGTTTGGTGTCTATTAATTAATTAATACATTTGTTTTCTTTTTGTGTGTATGTTTGCTTGTTTTCACATTGTGTAAATCCTGATTTATATATTAATGAGTAAAGTAAGTCGTGCAGCAAGCAAATCACAATTTTTCTTTTCTTTAGAAAAGTCTGAAGGAAAACAACTCTGGCCCTTTAAAATAGATTTCTTTCCTAAATTGCTTTTTTTCCCTAGTACATGTACATGTAATCCAAAAATTATTCACTTTTGAATGAGACTTCAACCAAACAAATTGGCCCACATTTAGTGATTGAATTATTAATGTACAAGGTCAAACTATTCTTGACCTGACTATAATTCCATTCTCGCGGGGTAGGCTGGTTCCCGCCCCAGTTTGAATCAGTAGTAATAATGTATGGACTGAGAGCCAGTCTGCTTGCAAGGCGGATCTCTTTGTGCACAAAATAAAAACCTTTTAGGGTTGTAGATGCCCCCCCCCCCTGAAAAAAGGGCGAAAAAGAAAAGGAGTTTTTTGGGTTGGAATAACATTTATTACAAAGAGAAAAAAAGTTAAATTGGTTTTAAAAGAGATGGGGAAAGTAACTTTAAATCTCTGCTAATGAACAGGCTTGAAATGTCGTCCACCTGAGACAAAAAGCCAGTCAATGGACGGGTTCAACATTAATTGCAAATTGCTTGAATTCTCTCTGTAATTAAGGCAGTTTATTCGGTAAACAAAGAGTTCAATCTTTTACCATGCAAAAGAGGTTGTAATACATGTACTTTAAAAAAGAAAAGAAAAAGAGACTCTCACTTCGAAGTCAATCCAACTTTCAACCAGTGCCTTTGAAGAAAATCTAGTAACCTCCCTTGGGCATGTAACTTGTGAGGCTGGTTCCCCCCCCCCCACCAAAAAAAATTGAACGTGTCTTTAATTTTTTTCATAAGAGCTACAGTGACAGCTGGTAGCTCTCTGGGACATTAAATAAATTCCAACTGTGGCAATTTGTGAATTCGACCCGGGCCTACATAGGAAATGCACTGGACTACTTGTCAATCATATTATATGGTCTTGCAATAACCTGTGATTATTGTGCAAGGGGCTGACGTAGCTGTTCTATTTTTTTCCTCCCGTATTTTATTTTTAGTGAGAATTTATGATTTCGACCATGACATATACGCGATACACTTTGGGAATAATCTGCACATACTTCCTGCGCTTTAAAAGTACCGGTATGGAATCCGTTTATAGTCAGGTGGCATATGGTTGGAATCGTGACCGACTGGTCCAAAGCACCAAATTTGGCAGATAGATTCTTATAGACCTAGAGAAGATATTTAGAAGGGGTGACACCTGAAATTATTTTGGAAAGGGTGCCTAATTTGCATAAATCGTTAATCCCTGCCGTGTAATATATTTTTCCCATATTTGGGTATATTTTTATTTTTTATTTTTTTTGAAAAGTGTATTTTGGTGATTCTACTTGCATATTCTTACTTCAATAACATTTTCTAAAGCATGTAAGTGACTGAATAATTACGAGGACATAGTAAATCACCGAAATTGCTACTATTTACCCTAAAGTTACGCGCATTTACCTTTTCCTCAGATATCATCAACTAGTCTCGCCAAACGTGGGTATTGATGAGCTTCAAATTCACAAAGGTACTTACTGACATAGTTAACCTAACAAAAATAAGTGGGAAATTATGTGAAAATTGATATCATCTTGATGTTTGGCCCAAAAGACCCAAAAAGGGGAGAAAATGTGGTGTCCGTAAATTGGGCTACAACGGGAAGGGTAACGTGGGGACTTGAACAAGTTCAACAAAATCCCCCCAAATAAAAGATTATTGTTGTTTACAATAATTTTGTCTACGCCAAAACGTTTTCTCAACAATAATTTTGGGAATTTCCTTGAACTTGTTCCAGTCTTCCATGTGAGGCAACCCTTCACCTTACTTGTTAGCCCAATTTATGGACACCTCGTTTTTTTCCCCAGTTTTTGTTTTCTGGGCTAAATATCACAATGTTCTCATTGTTCACATGATTTTGCATAAGGTTTCAATAGGGTAACTGTACCAGTAAGCTACGTGGTGAATTTGAAGTTCATCAATGCTGATGTTTGGCAAGACTAATTGATGATATCTGGGGACAAGGTAAATGCGCGCAATTTAGGGCATAATAGTAACCATTTTGGATCGTTACTATGTCCTTATAATTATTCAGTCACTTATATGCTTTGGAAAATGTTATTTTAGTAAAGATATGCAAGTAGAATCCCCAAAATACACTTTTCAAAAAATAAAAAATAAAAATATATACCCAAATATGGGAATAAATATATTACACGGCAGGGATTAACGATTTATGCAAATTAGGCACCCTTCCCAAAAAAATTCCCGGTGTCACCCCTTCTAAATATCTTCTCTAGGTCTATAAGAATCTATTTGCCAAGTTTGGTGCTTTGGACCAGACGGTCACGATCTTGACGAAAATTAGATCTAAGCCACCTGACTATTAAGTTTATCGCTGCTTGAGTGGTTCGTCTGCAGTGTTCACATTTTTCCCGGCTTTTTCTATTATTGTGCAAGTCTATAATGATAATTGTATGTGAGGAATTTGTATGGAGTCCAATGTTTACTGGCAATCAATCTTCTTCTTGTTCGAGGCAGGAGCCCCCAAATTATTCACCAACAATTTGAAAAATTCTCTCTTTTTTTTAACTGAAAAATGTTGCCTAATATACTTAAATATGTACAGTGCGTAATTCCAAGGGCGTCAATCGCCTCCGTAATTCACATATTGTATTACATGCAATGGCTGTCTATATTACCAAATTATAAGGAGAGGTTGGAGTGTTTTAATAGAAGAGGATGCAAAAATTAATTGGTTGAGGTGCAAAAAAAAAGTAATGAAAGCTTACTCTACAAAAAGTATTGAAATTGTTAGCAAATGTAAAAAGTAGGAGCCTATCGAAGTTGTTTAATGGGAGTCAGGTTACTTTCCTCGCCTTCCACCGCTTTGACCCGGGTTCGATTCCTGCCTGGGCCTATATGTGGATTAGGTTTTCAGTCCCTACTTGTTTCTTCGGGTTTTCCTCAGAATATTCTTCTGGGGTTTTCTTCTCACATCTAAAACTGTAATTTCTTCACATTGTCTTCTCTTTACTGGGCCTATTTTAGACCAGTGGATTCCACTGAATGGGCAACCCAGATAAAAAAAATTTCAATATTGCCCGCTTTTGTTTTAGTCAATTTACCCACTTCATACTCCATCATACTTCAGAAAGGCTAATGGTGCAACGTATGAAGTGGTTGAAATATTTCACAGATATTTAAAAGAAGTCACAATCAATACTGCAGATACTAAAGATCCTAAAATTGTACTCCCACTTGAAGATATCAAGGGGCTGCCATCAGTATTCAAAGCTTGCTCCTAATGCAAGTAAATTAATTCTCAGTCAGTCACAAACTCGCATTTTGTATTAATTAATCGCGTTCTGCTTTGTGCACAATTAAGAGCTATAACTGAACAAACATCTTAAAGATACAGTACATCAATTGTAATTTGTGCATTTTGTTCGTTTGAAGCAACAAAAGTGCTCAATATCTGAAGAACGATGCTGAACAACCAATCTGATGAAGTTTCAGCTTAGCTTCAGCTTCCTTTTTTCGAGAAAAACAACATTCTAGGATCTCAATTTCAAATCAAAAGTTGCTGAATCATGTTTTGAATTGGGCCTGAATCCAGCGTCCGAGACACGTTCTCACTAGTCGATTGCAGCTACGCGATGTCGCGCACTGATCTGACGAATGATAGCAACCGTGCGCGCGTGTGCGTCGTACCAATGCTTGCACGCGCTTTGCCGAATAACAAAACGAACTACTAATTTGAATTTCCTATATGGTGCTTCCTAAGACGCACCGTTGGAAAGGCCTTCTTTCGTTGATTTCTTCAAAATGACAGCTTGCCAGAAAGAATAATTTCACAGGGAGTTTAGTCCC